GGGGGGGGGGGGCAAGCACTTCCCACAAGGCGCATGGGTCGGACCCGGAGACGCACCGTCAGGAGCGACGATCGGCTGGGCAAGTGCGCCGCTGGTGATTACCAGCATGGCCAGGAGGCCGGCGGCGAGGCGCCCACGGGCGCAGGGCTGCATATTGCTCGAGGGGCGGACGAGGCGAAGGGTGTGGGGGAGCACAACCAACGAGGAGAGGGCAAAGCGTGCGAGGAGAGGGTGGAGGTGAGGGGCGGGGGAGTGGGGCAGTGCGTGTGCTGCGGTTGCCGAACAGGAGGGGCTGTCCGGACCTTCGATGACTTGGTCATACGGAGGGGGCGCCTTTTATACTCGCGCGGCTGTCCTTGGTGGGCTGTCTGGAATGCCGGACCGGCAAAAGCCACCATGGTCTGCGGATGCGAGGGGCGACCGCGCGAATGGGTGTTTGTGTCAGGTATGCGGGGGAGGGGGGGGGGGGGGCGGCGTCTGAGAGGCGCTGAGAGCTCTGGCCTCGATCCCGGCTCCGATCCTGGCCCGATTGGCAGACTCTGTGCCCCCCCCCCCCCCCCCTCTCCCCGCCCGTTGGGCGTCTGCCCTCCACGGGCAGAGCGGCAGGAGACACCGAGGAGGGGGTCGCGGGAGATGATGTTTGAAAATGATCGCGCGCACGGGGCTGACGTGGTTGCTTCAAGGTGCCCCAAGCATGCCCTCCCGGCCGGGCCCGGGCTCTGGGGGGCGGACTTTGGCAGCCCTCACAAATGACGCCTCCGGGGCTAACCGGGTCGGGTGAGGCCGGGTCGGGCCGGTGTGCTGCCACCACAAACGCCCCGAGCGCCGTCGCCGTGGTCGTCGTCGATGGTGCCACCGAAGACAGGCCGGCCATACCGGACACAGGTAGCCCACGCCGCGCACGTCAAGCCTGACACGCAGAGCTGGCCAGGCGTCGTGCAGTGACCGCGCATTGTCCCCCTTCGGCCCTGCGGCCCGGCGAGCGCCCGCATGCCACCCACAGAGGGCAGGGCCGCCGCCGGCTGGGCGGCCAATGGATCCGCCGGGGCGTGCCGAGGGCCGATCCATCGGTCGGTCGGTCGGTCGGTCGGTCGGTCGGTCGGTCGGTCGGTCGGTCGATCGGTCGATCGGTCGATCAATCGTGGAGCAGCCGCCGGGCGATCGGCCGGCCGGACAGATCGCGCAGCCAGCCAGCCAGCGGCCCCTGGGAGCCGGCACTATGCGACCATGCTTGTGCACGGGGCCGTGCGCATGTGTCCCGCCGGCCATCCTGCCCGGCCGATCGCGCCCCATCTCGGTCGAAGGGCGTGGGCCAGCGGGGGAATTAACAACATATCTTTATTTAGGAGGGGCCGTGCCCGGGCGCCCCGACCGCGCTCCCATGATGCCCGGGTGTACAAGTTAACACCGGCTCCCGGGCCGCCCAGCGTTCCATCAGACTCCCGCCCCGGCCCCCCGACCCCCCCCCC